TTCACACAATAATTTTTACTTGTTTAAGCAACAAAAAAAACATTTTAAACAAAACAAAACATGTTTTTTTCTTGTTTAAAACATGTTTTTTTAGTTGCTTAAAAAAACACAAAATAAAACAGAAAACATTGTACCAAATAAAAAAAACAATGTTTTTTGTTTAAAATAAAAAAAACATGTTTTTTTAACAACCTTGACTAGGAGTATTTTGAGGCACTACTGTACTACAGCACTACTGTACTACTATACCAGTAGTAGTGCAGAAATGTTCAGTAATGCTGAGTAGTGCTAAGATCTTCTATATATCCGCGTTTCGGCGAGATACAAAATGCAGAAAACGAATATGCATCACAGAAACTAACTATTAATAACTTTATTTAAAAAAAAAAGCGCTTTCAGAGACTCTACTAGCACACTCTGATCAAGCTGAGAGTAAGTGACTGATTTCATTTACATATGCCTATTTATAGGGATCCGCGTCATTTTCTCCTTACGGAAAACGAGTCCATCTTGCGGTGAAATGTAACATTAAAGGGTTTTCGAGGTCGCTGATTTCGAATCCAAAATTGAAAATTTAAAATGGTTGAACCAATATGACGGACGGAAGTGCTAAAAATCTTCCGATTTCAGCGAAATGTAGTATTAAGGAGGTAGTCGAGTGACAGTCACTTCCAAAAGTTAGTTCGTGTACAAACGGCTAAACTTTTTGATGCAATGATACAGCATTGGCCAATGAGATCGCTTCATGCACACACTCATTGTCCTGTACCATTCGTGTTGACAAAGATGTGGCAACGTCCTGTTTCCCAAAACATACCTATCACTGTAACTTATAATTCACATTCCAGTTTTTTTACAATATTTTATCCGCATAATTCAGAAAAACACTTGTTTTGGTTATGTATGATGTGTCATAATATGCCATGTGGGAGATTCCGTTCGGTTGAATCGATGAGCGACGTTGCCACATGTACGCAACCCCCTCTTCTTCTGACGAATATCATTATTTTCATATCGCTTTTATTAAAAAAGTATGTGGCTACGAGTCACCAATTTTGTTTATATCATTGCTAACATTATTATATACAACATATCAATTTTTTAAAAAGTTCGTAAATTCCGATCCTTTTCATATCAAATTTAATGTGCGTTTCATGACGGGGCATGGAATAGGGCTTACATGTTAAATTCGTGAACTTTGAAACGAAATATTTCGTTTATCCTGTGGTTACATCTGAAATTTTAAGGAACGATTGTTATGCATACGATCAACACATATGCTAATTTTTTTTAGAATTTTCGTAAAATTTTCAATTTACTCGACTACCTCCTTAAAGGGTTTTCATGGTCGCTGATCGAGGCCCGAACGATGGGACGCCACAAATCGTGACGATTCCGAAAGCGATTCGTCTGATTGTGAGACTAAGGGTGCGTTCCGAGTTTCGCATGAAGTGCATGATGCATCATTTGTCCTTGATATTCACCAAATAATAAAGAAGGATAAAACAATACATCATGCGCTTCATGCGTACAACTCGGAACGCACCCTAAGAAGCGACGATGGTCTTCTCCGTCACGAACTGACGAGAGAAAGAGGAAAGATACGCGCTTTGAGAGGTTAGAGCGCATGATGGATAGTTTGGATCAGCGTTCGCACGGACATGGTTCGTGTATCTATCGAGGGGACGAGTTAATGATTTCTCCATTTGATCCGGAGAAGGATGATTTGATGATCGACAAATGGATCAAGCACGTGGATGAGCTATCCGCGCAGTACGGTTGCGATGGCCGAGCGATCATGAGGCTAATTCCAAGCAGATTAAAAGGGCACGCTCACCAATGGTACGATACACGGCCTCAGCTAGCCGTTACATGGGCGGAAACGAAGGAAGAGCTGACGCAACAGTTTCGTAAGGTCTCTGCGAAGTTAGTACCTCTACTTCAAAAATCGGAAATTTTATTAATAGTACCGTTGATTTAGGTCAAAAATTTTTTTTAATAAATTTTTTTAATAAAAATATGCGGTGCTAACTTCGCGTGGCATCGCAAGATTCGTGAAAGTCGATTTTTTTTACGGAATCTTACAATACTCGAAGAGTACTAGAGTTCCTGATTAAAACAAGAGTTCCGGTCAGTAAATATTTTTAAATAAATTTAAAAAAAAAGTGCTAGCACCTCAAGTTTCAAAAAATTAATTTTTTTTTGTGCCGCTTTTTAGTACTCGAAGAGTTCTATAGTTTCTGATAAGTTTTAGTGATACCACTGGCCATTTTAATATGTTTAAACAATTTTTTAATCCCAGCGTTGCACCGCACGTCAAGAGTAAAGTACCTCTAAACAGCCAGTACTGGCCGACTTTTCGGCTTTATTCGACAGTACTGCGATAGTACCGAAGACTTATATAGGTTTCGATCCGAGTACTCCTCGTTTAATATGTTTAAACGATTTTTTAATCCCAGCGCTGCACCGCATGTCGAGAGTAAAGTACCTCTAAACAGACAGTACTGGCTGACTTTTCGGCTTTATTCGACAGTACTGCGATAGTACCGAAGACTTATGTAGGTAAACTTGCGTTGAAACCTACATAAGAGTTTACGGTATTATCGCAGTACTGTCGGTTAATGCCGAAAAGTCGGCTAGTACTGGCTGTTTAGAGGTACTTTACTCTTGACGTGCGGTGCAGCGCTGGGATTAAAAAATTGTTTAAACATATTAAAATGGCCGGTGGTATCACT